CGCCCCGCGGCTCGGGATCCCCTGTGTCGGGGAGGGAGAACCGGGCAGGAGGAACGGGATCTGCGTAAGTGCCCACAGGGAGGAATATCTGGGCCCGTCCTCTTCGCGCAAGAGCTGGAAGCCCCCTTGTCCCCCTTCCCGGGCGCTGTGCTCCCTCCCGCGCCCGTCTCTATTTATTGGCCCGGCCTCCCCGCGTTTTCCTGTTTGGCTTGTGCTGGTTTTGATGTTGCCAATTTCCGGAGATGGTGATAAGAGCAAGAACGTGTGGGTGTCGCTAAGGAGAAAAGACCAAATCAGGTATTCTGCTGCCGTGCGGGGAAAATCAGAAGGAAGAGAAGACGAAAGCTGGTTTTGCAGAGTGCCTTAAACACAAATGACTTTACCGAGTTAGGGGGCTTGGACTCTTCTGTCTTTGGATGTTATTACAAACTCAAACGTTGCATTTCACTTCTCTGGGATTAAAAGACAAATATTCAATCTGTACTGGAACCAAACTCTGTGTTTCCTTGAATAGGTGCAATTTTCTTAAGAGCCCAAGCTTGCCCCAGAGAGCTGGGCCACGCTGGGAACGTGCGGGGCTGCAGAGGGAAGGAGGAAAGCTCCCGAAAGCCGGGGTGCTGAGCCACCTGGTGGTGCCCACGTCCCCGTGTGCTCCTAGGGTTTCGGGGTGGCAGAAGCTACTACCTCCTGGGAAATATGCCCTAGAGGACCCTGCTTGAGCCAAGGGGGTTGGACTAGATGATCTCCAGAGGTCCCTTCCAACCTCGACCATTCTGTGAATCTGTGACTCGAGCTCAGACCTGTTCCCCTTTGTGCCTCTGGGGTCTGGCAAGGTGCTGACTCCTTTCGCTGCAAGGTGAGCTCTTCGTAGTGACTCCCGGGGGGGTTCTCTGGTGTCCCTAGAGGTTGTGCTCGCCCTGCAGCATCCCTTCCCGGGGGACGCTCAGAGCGTATTCACAAATCTTGTAGTGGGTCCGTGGCCTTGGGCTGCCTCTCCCCTTCCAGAGGGACCTGAAATCGGGCAGTCAGTTGGAAAACTCGTGCAGAGGCGGTGGATGTGCAGACGACCCTTTTTCCCTCAGGAAACCTGGCCGAGGCAAGGGCTGCGCGCCGAGGTGCAGGCAAGAAACCCGGGAGCTCTCACTGCTGCCGAGCGCAGGAAGGTGAAGGGCTGAGGTGTGGTGGGCTGGGCTGCTGGCCTCAAGTTTTTTTGGGGGAAGGGACTTAGGCTGAAAAAAATACAAAGACAATTTCCCCTTTGCGATTGCAGATTTTCTCCCACTACTTGCTTAATGGAAAAAGGGGGAACAAGAGTCAACCCGGAGACGATGTGGTTTTTTTTCTGCAGTCTTCTAGTAAAAATAATAAACGGGGATAATATAGAATTTCATAATGAAGGTTCATCTAAAAAAAAAAATCCACAACTGAGGGAAAACAAGAGTAGTTGAAACATTTGGGAAAAATACAAATGTTTGCAATATATTTTCTGGAAGCCATTAAATATTTATTATTATTATTGTTATTTGGTAATGAAAGAAGGAATTGTCTTCTCAGCCTGAGCCCTGCCTGCACATGGGGATGGTGGAAGAGGGCCGATGGGCACAGGCAAGGAGCTGGTGGCTGGATCTTGCCCGAGGACTGCTGGGCTGTGTCCCAGCCAGAGGGGAAGCTGGATGTGGGTGCGCCCCAAGAGTAGACCCGTACAGGATGCTGGAGGTGCGTCCCCTTGAATTGCACAGGGGAGGAGGCAGCGTTGATGCTCACTGCAAGTGAGCATCCCTGTCAGTCCCCTCCTGCTGTGCAGTATGTTTGTGCCCTGAGCAGGCTGGTTTCTTTAACAGCTGCTTGTTTTAAGCATTGCTGATCATGCTGGGCACCAAGAGATGCTGGCGGACAGCTGATGCATTATTTAATGAGTGGGTTTCTTTCCTAGGCTTTTATTAAACCATCACTTATCTACTTAACAAGTTTGGCACTGCAGCAAACGTTGGTCCCCCCGGGCACGGGGGAGCGCAGCAGCGGGTGCATGGCGCGGCCCAGAAACACCAGTGCGGCTGAGGCTGCTGCAGCCTCTTTGCAGGGGCGCCTGGTGCCATTAGAGGGTTTGGGGAGTTTGCAAAGCCTGGCTCGTGGCTTTGCTCCTGTGGAGAGGGGCTTGTTCCCAAGTAAGAGCTGCAGCTGCTGAGATCAGGGGTCCAAATGCGCTTTGGGACAAACAGGGCTTAGCACCAGGCCCCCTTGTCCCAACAAATATTGGCCTGTAGGTGGCACAGCCTGGGCTGGAGGTACTGGAGGATGGCATGGCCCTGTGGGGCAGCTCCCACTGGCGAGGGTCGCATCCTGGCTGAGGGGCTGCAGGGACCGTGCTGGGAGCAGGATGGCTCCAGTTCACCGAGGGGCACGAGGCAGGCTGGCACTGGGCTTGGGGACTGGCTCCCAAGCAAGCGTGGGGCTGAGGCCTTGGGAAATAGTCCGGCCCTGGGAAGGGGAGAGGCATTCCCAGCCTCCTCCCTTGGTGCACATCTCCCTCCTTTTCCCCCTCTGTGAAGAAGGGTAGTGTGGCTGTCCCCGGGCCTGCTGCCTCATCTGGGACAATGTGCTCCAGGGCAACCTGTGTTTCCCAAGCGCCTTATTTACAGAGCAATGACAAGGGCAGTTGGGGGCACTGCCACCCACAGAGGAGCATGGGCACACACACCCCAGCTGCACAGCCACGGTGAGCAAAGAAAGCCTTCAGGGTGCCAGGGACAAAGCACCGATGCTGTGTCTGTGAACACCAGCACAGATGAGGGATGCTGCACATAGTACTGAAGAGTGCTTTATTTGCGCTATTGCCTCTTCCAGAAAAGCTGAAAACATCAGTCAACTTTCAGCAAGAGATGAGAAAGCAGTAAGAAGTGAGAAAATTTGGCTCTGCAGCTCCTCCCCAATGCATGGGAACAAATTAAGGTGTTAATGAGTGAGTGATGGCTGCTCCTAAAGGCATGCAGCAGTTTGGAGTCCTCTAAGCTACCTGATCGGAGACACGGGAGCCCAGCAGGCAACCCCTCCGAGGCCTGGCTGCTGACACCACACTTCATGCCATGCCTCTGGGACAAGCATGGCCAGTGCCGAACAGAAGCGACTCCACAGCGTGGGCCCAGGAGCTCCCGCGAGCCTGCTGACCTCTTCCTTGCTGGGCTGAGTCAAGGCAAGAAAACACCCAGGGTTTTAATTTGAGAAGACGTGGGGGACAAAGGGGATGTGGAGGATTGGTTTAGTATTGGGATTTAACACCAGTGTGAAACTACGAGGCTGCTGATCGTATGGCGTCAGGGAGGCTCCTGCCTGCTGGGCATGGCTGGCTCCAGGTGTCACACCCAGGGAAGGGTCCCAGCGCCGAACGACCTGCGTGGTGGCCGGGCGGACCCGCTCACTCTGGCTGTGGCGTGTAACGCAGGTACTTCTTGCCCGATGGGAGGTCCTTGGTGAAGACTCCTTTGGGAAACAGCTTCTTAGCTTCGTCATCAGGTAAGGTAGGCACGACCATGACGCTGTCACCAGGCTGGGGAGCAAATGGGAACCGTGAGAGCAGCAGAGGAACTGGCAGGCTTGGATGCAGGTGGCACGTCCCTGCCGGCAGGTGATGTGTCAGCTTCCCTGCAAACGCTCAGCCCCAGTCCTCCAGGCATGTCCCCTGCAGCTCTGCCCATAGCCGGTAGCGAGGACTGAGAGGGAGATGCACCAGGAGGTGTGAGTGAGGCAGAAAGGAAGAGCTGCTCCATCCGCCAGCCTTGCCAGCAGGACCCCATGGTGCAGCAGCCCCCACCACAGTACTGCCAAGGAACAGGGAGCTCCGCACAGGGTCCCCACAGCTCATCTTACTCCTTGCTGAGCAGGGCACGCAGCAAGGCCTGCGTCTGCTCGTCCGTTCCTGTTGCTCAGGCGCCCCTGGAAAGGCAGCGCTTGGCCAGGCTGAGCCCCAGGGCTTCCCTGGGAGGAGGGCTGGTGGGTGAGCTGGCCCAAAGCTGCTGACAGCTTAGGCTGCGCTGCAAGACGAACTGCCTGTGGGGACCTCCTGATCAGAGAGAGTGGGCGTTTGGGCCATCGCTTCTCTCTGAGAGCTCGGTCCTGCCTTATAAAAGAAGTACTACACGCTTCTGGGGACCCTGTAGCAGCAGGAGTGTGTCCTCTGGCTCCAGACACGCAGGCTTCTCTGCTAACAGCTATCAAAGCCAGCAGCGGGACAGGTCCAAGAGCTGAGCAGCTCTGCCAGGCCAGGGAAATGCTGGCTAGCTAAAGCAGCCAGAGCGCACCGCTTGTTCTTGCTTTTTTTTGGCTGCCCAAACTACTTTGGGGAGTTTTAAATAATGCTTCTGAAGTGAAATGGCAGCTAAGCAACTTCAGTTAGTTATTTTCCACAAGGAGAATTGTACTTGGGTGTGTACCTGCTGGGCAAAGTGAGGCGGGCTGTGCCGGTATTGGCCTTTCCTGGCTCAAAGGGAGCAGAGCTGTGTGCCAGCCCACTAACTGGCTGCTCTGCGCTTACTGTTTTGCTGGCTTGTGACCATGACTTTAAGTGAAGTTTGGCCTGGCAGCTGACACTCTTCCTTATCGTGGACAACAAAGGCAGGACCTGCCTTGCCCTAGAGCTCAAGTACTGATAGCCAATCAGTACTGCCAGCACCTGGGACCAAGGAGAGGGAAGGGAGGACTGGCTAACTCCAGGCTGCATCGGCCCTGGGGCCTATGCTGGGATCCAGCTCCAATCCCAGGATCTCAGTAGCTCCCCCCACACTGCAGGCCCCTCCAAGGGGGCAAGGTGATGTTTCAGTGCGCCTCGACATCGCCCACCCGCCCGCTGCAGTGCCAGGCTGCAGGCTCTGCTCCCGTCCTCACCTTCCAGTTCACAGGGGTAGCGACCTTCTTGTAAGCAGTCAGCTGCAGGGAGTCCACCACTCTCAGGATCTCATCAAAGTTTCTCCCAGTGGTGGCTGGGTAGAGGATGGAGAGTTTCAGCTTCTTATCCGGGCCAAAAACGAACACCTGAGCACAGGGAGACAGGGTCAGGTTCCTGGGCACCCTCGGGGCTGAGCAGTGCATGCATGTCCTACTGCTCTGCTGGATCTGCCCAGCCCTCTCGCTCCTCCCTCTCCCAAGAGGTGTCCTGCCAAGACCCTGTTTGATCGCAGGTCCTTGGGACAGTGAAGACACTGTCGTGGGTATCTCCTAGAACAACAAGTGCCCCCCACCAGGGCACAGGGAACACAGTGTTTGTTCTGAGAGCTGGTTTCCAACATCAGCTTATTTCACTATTTGAACCATTTCCTCCCCACCCCAACCTGTGTCCCTTCTAACGCAAGCACTGCAGGGGAGAGGGAAAGTCCAGCATATCAAGGACCCATGGCATGTCCCCTCTCTGCCTAGACCGGAAAAACGAGGATGAGCTGGTAGCAACAGCGAGACAGAGCAGTCGCCAGCAAGCAACGGCTGTGCCCAGCCTCTTCTTGCAGCACAGCCCATGGATCTAGCCCACGGAAGTCAACCCAGCTCCTGAGGATGGTCACGTCCATGCAGGTAGGCTGCCCCTGTCTCCACGCCAGACGCAGGGCAGGATGGCAGCTCATGCCTACTGCTGCCGTGCTCCAAGGCCAGAGCACGACCAGGGTACTCACCACACGGGCAGTCAGGGGTATGCCATCCTTGTCTCGCTCGTCTGGGTCCAGCATGCCCAGCTTGACAGCGAGCTCTCGATTCGCATCAGCAATGATGGGGAAGGGGAGTTTCTCCTCGGGCTGGTCCCCATTGTAAGCATTGATGTCCTGCAGAAAGAAGCCATCGTCACCCTCATGCTCCCCATCTTGGATGCCACCGTGCTGGGGACAGAGGCCAGGCAGGCAGACCTCCACGCAGGCTGAATGTGCATGGGGCAGGCCCTGGTGGTGTCACGCAGTCTGTAACCGCTATTTTGGTACGGATGGATGCCTTGCCTGCTCTCTTACCCAGCCGTGCTCTGATGTGTGCCAGGCCTGCTCCTGTGAGAGCGCAGCACCCCTTTCCTCTGCACGCTGATGCCAGGACTGACACCTCCTCACGCTGTGCCCCTGCCCTGTGGCTCCTGCGGCGGGGCCGCGCAGGCACAGCCAGGTACCCATGGCCTTCCAGGAAGTTTCTAGGCTTCCAGAAACCAGGCAACAGACCAGACACCTGTGTGCCAGGCGGGACTCTGCCTTGTTCTTAGAAGTTTCTTTTTAGGCAGAGCAAACCAGTGACTCTAGAGCTAACAAAGCTCACATGTCAAACACTTCATAGCTTTTGTGCAAGGAGGCCAGCCCCGTTCAGCAAGTCACCTCTATCTTAATTAAAGGCTCTTGAAAATGCAGTGAAAGTCTGAGTGCGTATGCTGGGTTGCAGCATGCTTTTTTGAACAGTGTCTGGGAACAGGAGCGAAAACTGCCCTCACCTTCAGTAGCTGCCTATGCTCTCCCTCGTGACCTTGGTCTATGAGGTTGCTCCCTGTGTTAGTCCAAACTTGGCCTATATTGCAGGGAATCTTTACTTTTAGCCTCCCTGATACTGGCCTGGATTTGGCCAAAACATTCACTTTTTCCCTTGTAACGTGGGGCAACTCCCATATGGATTGTGCTGAGCAGGGCTGGGAGCAGCCTCCTCAAGGCAGCACAAGCAGAGCAGCTGGCAGCTATGTTCTGGGGCAGTGACCTTGGATTCACACGTGCTTTAATGCTATCTTCGCTTTCCAGTCTCATTTTGCTACATGGAACAAAACCAACTCCAGCGCTGGCATAAGCCTCCCCCCGCAGCACTGCGGTATGTTATCAGCCGAGCTGGCAACGGGCGCATCCGAGTCTCTGCCTCCCCTAGGCCCTGAAGGTAGGGGAACAGGCTGGGCCTTGCTCAGGGGGAACGCAGGGAGGGAAGGGTTGGAAATGCTGCCCCTTGGCACTGCCAGCTGCTCTCCGATCGTGCCAGAGGCAGCAAGAGCAGGCAGGCCTAGCACCGGTCCTCAGCCCTCCCAGGCTACCGGCGGTGACATGGGGGACCGTAACCCTGCCCTGGTGAGCACCGGCTGCTCAGGATGCTGCAAGCAGGCCAGGGGTGCACACATGGCAGGATGTTTCCTTTGCAACTTTTTTCTTCACTTGCTTTCTCCCCAGCACCTTCGCGAGTCAGCGCTGCGCTGCCAAGAGGGGCTGTTCATCTCGGTGTGGCTGTGTGCATTTCCCAGTCAGGTCCTGTGTGATGGCAGTACGTGCAGCCATCCTTACAGAGTCAGCTGAGGCCAGGAGCATGTTTCTGCTTGCCTCAACTAGCAGCCCTCTCCTTGTAGCCACAGGCACAGCCAGCTGGGCACTGAGGACAGGAGCAGGGCATCCCCTTCCAGCCTTGAACGCTGAAAAATATCTTAGGAGCAGCTCCTTGGCTGATGCTGTAATGTGTTCGCTCTCTTACTCTTTCCACATCCCCAGAAGGTCTCCGAACTCCTCTGGAGCATACAGTTTGTGGACAGACCCTTTTTGCAACTTATACTTGTGAATTTTAGCGAGGGCCCAGCCTGTCTGGTGTTCAGCAAAGCGGAAAGCAGAGGCAGAAACAAGTGACGCCTGCAAGCCCGTGACGTGGGACATGGGACATACAGGCCTCTCTATACAGGCCTCTTGAATGAGCAAGAATCAGCCACTGGAACACGCATGGGAGGCTCTGCAAAAGCTCAGTGAACAGACCAAATCTTGCAGGAGCAGAAGTCTCTCTCTACGTCAAGCTCAACTAGTTTCTTCTTCAAAGAAGACTGACTTCCTTCACTTTTGCTCCCTCTTCGCTGCAAGCGTTGACCAGCGTGTGCTTGCTGTATCATGCCTATTGGCTTGAACCCTGGGATCAGGATGCTGCTGGGACGTGCTCTCAGATTTTCTGACTTCGTTTGTCCTAACTCACCTCCCTGAAGAGTTGCAAGAAGAAATCCTGTACCAGGACAGGACACTACTCTTTGGAAATACGCAGTATGGCACTTTGCTGTTAAATTGCAACAGTCAAAGTCCTGATACTTACTACAGAGCCGTTCTTACAGGCACCAGGCATGAGAGTGGTTTAACGAATAAAGAAGAGCTGCTGTGAACTTCTACCTAAACTTGCACAGTTTGAGTCCAGTCACTACTTAAAAAAATAGTTTGGCAATCTGAGTTCAGCTGGCTGAGACAACTGTTTGCAACAGCGTCTGCTGCCCTTCAGCTGCGTAAGAGAAACGGGAAAGGACTCTAGTATGACACATGTCCGGCCCAGAGCAGAAGCCTTACTCTTTCCTGGAGCTGGACAGCTTACTCACACAATAACACGCAAAGAAAATCATCAGTCATGGATTTAAAGTAATAAAGGTTTTCTCCATGGCTGTTCAGCACCATATCCTCCTCCGCCCTCCAAGTGACAATTCATCTTCAAGGGTTTCTATATCACAAGTCACGGGGTCTATCTGAAAAAATCCCTTCTACTTGGAGCAGCTCGGTTTGTCCAGCAATAACCTTTATCGCTGCAGCACTCTGGATGGTACACTGAGAGGTGAGAAAGTGGAAAGAAGTCCTTTGCACAAAACTCGGCTCTATGATGGAGAGCACTTTCGAAAAGCAATAATCAAATCCTACTGATTATAGCTCGTTCCAAAACGCACATAACTTCATCACATGGGGGATCTCTATACAAAACAGTGTCATAACCCCCACGCTCTTGTGCAACAGGACACCCACGAGTCATTCACTTCCCTACAAACTGTTTTTCTTTCCAGAGTCCAAGCTGAAACCAGACACTGCTGGAGAGATTTATTCACCCCTGACTCATCGAGGCTAAGGCACTGGTGACCAAAGAGAACATCGAAACCTCTGGCATAAGCAGCATATGCCAGTCACGCCTGCAGCGACCGTTGGGCTCAGAGGAGAATACGAGCTCTCTACGTGCCACAGACCAGGTGCCCCTGCCTCTGGTGCAGATGCCCTGGTTAATCCGGCCCAAGGAGCTTGCGTGCTCAGCCAAGTCTTGGAGAAGCAGTGCAAGGACTGGGGAGGCTGGAGAGCAGGATCGGTCCCTTGTTGAGCTACAAGCTTGCTGAGAAACCTGGAGCAGGCCCCTGAGCCTTGGCTAGGGATGGCTAACAGCAGTGATATCCTTGGCTGGGAAAGCACGCATTGGCAGTGATGTGACAGCTATTGGTCATGCTGTAGTCTACAAGCCTGCTCACTGCTGTTAGCTGAGCTGTCCCTGCGTAGTTTATCTCCTTTCCTATATGCTCACTGAAATTTGGCAGTAAGGAAAGCAGAGGTTTCTCTGTTGTTTCATGAAGAATTTTAGGCATCCATTCCTTGCTGCCCATTTGCTTCCTCGCAGGCTGTGCTCTAGATGAAAACGGCTTCTTCCTCTCAGTACTGTTAGTAGCTTCATCCAAAGAGAAAGTGTGGGTGTACAGAGGAACGTTGCACAGAGAGGTCTAACTGTTTGCCAGAAGCTTTGCTTGATCCAAGAACTTCTCTCTAGGTTGAGATCTAGTGAAGGAAGCTGCAATTTTTTACATCTCAGTCTAACATTGAATGTACACTGCTTTTGTCCAGACAGGCATCTGCTGCTAGGTCTTGATATCTCCGTTCAAGCTCTTTTTTCTCTGTGGCTGGGCAGAAGAACCTCTGGGACATTGTCTGTGGTCTCAGACTTGCAGAAGGCCTTAAGGGCTGCCTTCCTAGTTCTTCTCTTTGGCTCCCTGCACTATTTCAAGTTCTTCTCTGCTTTGTCAAGGACCTCTCCTAGCATTTTAAATGTATGCAACAAAGTGAATCAATGGGATTGGAGTCATCCTAGGGTTTTCTGCACATAGTGTAACTGTTTGACAATTTAGAGGTCCTCCCTTCACCTTTCTCCATACAGCCCTGAGAGGAAGTTGTACTGCCCAGCTAATCTCGAAAGCAGCGCTGGGGAAGCCTTCGTCCTCCGCTCCTGTTAACCAGATGGCAAAGCTGTCACCAGGGAAAGGATCGTGTATATGGCTCAAGTCTAAAGAGCAGAACAACTGCATCCTTAGCCCTCTATGATGCATACATGCTGAGTTCATTGCTCCTCCATCCTTCCCATGCCACTCATGATGATGTGGCCTGGCACACGTCCCCATTCCCAAGTGGGAAGTGCCCCTCATCTCTTTGCACTGAAGCTACTGCAAACCTTTGAGCAGCCTTTCCCCCTCTCTGCTGCATGCATGCTGCATCCAAACCTTTTCTTGTTCCCCTGTAGTCTGAGAGATGGATGATTTGAAACACAGGCTGCATAAGAGAGTCAAATCTGCTATGCATTTATCCACACCAGTTTGAACTTTTGCTCTGGCTCTGTTTAACAGTACTCCTTTTGACAGATGCTAAGCTGACATTTCCAAACCACCATCTCCAAGGCCTCTCCCTACCCTGACAGCAAGTTCACCACTGTGATGCACAGCTTAGGCTGTTGCCCTCTGCCTTCCTCTGCAGTTGTCCTGGAAGGTTTTCCAAACCTGCTGTTTTGTCTCCCATCAGTCAGCATTGTGAAGCTCTTCTACAACTCCTGGTTTTACCTGAGGCCATGCTGAATAATCCTGTAGTGTCAGCAAACTCAGCTTGTTGTTCACCTCTTTTCCGGATCATCTGAATATGCTGAACCATACATGTCCCTGGAGACCCTCAGGAGCTCACTTGCTACCTTTCCTCCCTTGACACAATTATCGCTTCCTCCTATCTCCCAACAAGAATAGATAAGAAAGCCTTCCTTTTCACAGAGAATCACAGAATGGTTGAGGTTGGAAGGGACCTCTGGAGATCATCTAGTCCAACCCCCCTGCTCAAGCAGGGTCCTCTAGAGCATATTGCCCAGGATCACATCCAGGCGGGTTTTGAATATCTCCGGCAAAGGAGACTCCACAGCCTCTCTGGGCAACCTGTTCCAGCGCTCTGTCACCCTCACTGTAAAGAAGTTGGGCTTCATCCTCTCGACCCCCCCCCCCTTCAGATACTTATACACGTTGATGAGATTGCCTCTCAGTCTTCTCTTCTCCAGACTGAACGGGCCCAGCTCTCGCAACCTTTCTTCAGAGGAGAGATGCTCCAGTCCCCTCGTCACCTTTGTAGCCCTCCGCTGGACTCTCTCCAGGAGCGCCATGTCTCTCTTGTACTGGTGAGCCCAGAATTGGACCCAGTACTCCAGGTGAGGCCTCACCTGGGCTGAGGAGAGGGGCAGGATCACCTCCCTCGACCTGTTGGCAACACTCTGCCTAATGTACCCCAGGATCCCATTGGCCTTCTTGGCCGCAAGGGCACACTGCTGGCTCACAGCTGATTTCATTCAAGATTCTTGGAAATTCAAGAATTTTATATTCAGCAATATCACTATAGTCCTTCAAAGGTCTCGAACAAACCGGGAGATGAGATTCCCTTACAAAGGCCAAACCAAAACTTTCTGTTGCGTTTAATGGGACATATCTGCTAAATCAACTGGTGGTTTTCACCAGTTTGACCAATGCAGAAATCTGATTTATAGGTGTGGATTTTATATGTTTTCCCCAGGCCCTTTTGAAACCTGGCATCACATCTGCCATGCTCCATTCAGGTACGAAGGCCAATTTAAGCAATAGGGAGTAACTGGGCAATTTCTACAGCAAGTCAAACATGACTAATGTTTGAGTAGGGAAGTTGCTCACCTTTACCACCTCTCTCATTACACACAAGCCTCAACAGCCCCCTGCAGATCACACGAGAATGTTCCCAAGTTCAAGAGTTAACAAAGAGGCTGATAGTTCACTTAGTTTTAGGGTTTTTTTTTTTTCTACTCTGACTTTATCTTTCTGAAATGCTCATCTTACACCCTTATCATCTGCCAGCCCTGGAGTCAGACTCCCTGGCAGCACACCATTGCTGAGGCTCTAGTTTAAGTTTTTTACTAGTTTCTTTTTTGTTTCTTCAGCAAGTTATTTTGTCGTCACCTCTTTTTTTCCCCCCTTACTGTGGTTTTATATTTAACATGCTCCTACTTGCAGTTTTATGTTTAACATGCCTCTATTTGTTCTTTTTTCTCTCTTTCCTGCCTGGACACGAACTACACCCTTTGAAGCTATTCAGTTCTCACGCCTCCTTTACCTTCCTGTTTTACTGCAGAGCTTATTTAGGGTCTGTGGGTAGACTGCCTTCCTCTGAGCTTTTGATACTGCCTGACACACCTGGCATGCATTTTACCCTTTTTGGTGTTCGATAGGAGAGCCGCAACAGCACTTTCTTCTTGTTTCAAAGCGTCAGTGCGCAGGGGGTCTGCAGTACTCACTGACACCCTTGACTCACTTAACTGAACTTTAAACCAGCCCTAACAGGGGTACCTTGATGTTTGTACTCCATGGAGTTTCCAGAATGCCTGTCACAGGAGGATCCTCTTTTACAACCAGGAGCATTACTTTGTATGTCTTGTTTTCTAGACCTGTTAGCTGCACAGAAAGAAATGCACTTTCTTGGGCCATCTTTTGGAGTGTGCCACGAAAATGGGATATCTGTGCAGACTGCTCTCTAAGGTTCCTGTTCTGAATTTTAGCATCCCCCATCCTACGTGCTTTGGGATTCAAATATCTTAAAAAGTTATCCTCAGAAGATGTGTAATTCCAAGCCTGTGCTCATCTCCATGTGGGCCTTTCCTCTGGCCTTTCACAAAAATGCTCCTCTGCCACAAGGCAGCAGCACACGCTCCTCTTGCCTCCCCGTGCCCCGTACCTTGCTCCAGGAGAGGTGGTCTTTGACGCTGTCAATGGAGAGGGCGATCATCTTCACATTGCGCTTGCTGAACTCCTGCGCTAGCTTCGCAGCCTGGCCAAGCTCCGTGGTGCAGACGGGAGTGAAGTCCCGAGGGTGGGAGAAGAGGATGCCCCATCTGAAAGAAGAGGGCAGGAGACGGCATTAGGGTGAGCTGTTGTTCCAATTAGCAGTGCAGACAATTGCTGCACAGACTGCATTGGACAGAGGCTGAGCGAGCAGCTAAGGGAACAGCTTGTCTCCCCGCTAAGTGGAGAAGGAAATCCTGTCCTGGAAACTCCTCCTTCCCTAGTGCTGGAAGCCTTCACCAGAAAAGCCCCATTCATCATGCTCTGAGGAACAACTTGAGCTTCGCAACCCTCTCCTCCCTCCTGCCCAAGAGATGCTGGAATAGCCCACGTTTCCTAAAGCAGAGATGGACACGATGCCACGCGAGCAAAGTTTGCGGGAGCCGTGCGTACGCTGCGTACCCCAGAGACCGCACAGGTGCCAACCTGCAGGCCGTGTTATTGCAAAGATCATTGCTGGTCTACAAAGCTCACATTTACTATCCTGTACACCTCGTAAATCACCGTGAAGAGAAATACCTGTTTATATCATGTAGCTTAAAAGAACAGGATAGGACCAAACCTTAACTGTGAACTTCCAAATGTACTTCATTAAAAAAAATCAAGAATTAGTCAATGAAGAGGGGATGCCAGAAGTCAACATTTCATTATGGCTGCAGTTTTAACAATACTGCCACCTTGCTATTGCCCAGCACTTGCCATCAGGGGATTTCTTAGGCTTTACAAAGCAGGCGAATACTATTCATCCCATTTTACAGATAAGGAAACTGAGGCACAAAGAAAGGCAGCAATATGGCCCAGCAGGCCAGCAACTAGACAGAAACAGGACCTGTGTCTAGCAGGTCTCTGATCACAACATCATGCTGCAATTAGCTCTAATCCATGGGTTTTATGGCAGATCAGCTCATAACGCCCAAGAGTTTCCAGAGGCTAATCCAAAGCCAAGCCCCAGCACTTAAAAATTTCTGCCCAGGAATCACACCATTTCTATGTAAAATCTAGCTCAATATTTACAGGTCTTACTGCACAGCTTGTCAGTAAACACAGCCGTATGTCAAAGCAGTTGAAGCAAGTCCTGCCTTAGAGTTTTGTGAACAGAGCTGGAGGGATGAAGCAAGGTCCCCTGCAGCTGTGACAGAGCTGTGCAATTACCATAGCTCTTAATGAAGTTATGGGGCAGCTACCCAGTCACTGCTGTTACAGTGTGTCTTACACAATATTATGCTATTTGAATAAAAAGGCAGCAAACTGCTGAGTAGATGCTGGCCAAGAGGTCTGCTATGTGTATGATTAGGCTGGAACAGTCAGTTTTAAAAAATCCTGCAAGCAACACCCTATTTTCTCATTTAAACTAATAGGTTTCCTTTTATCTCATTTGCCCAACTCTGCAAGGCCGAAAGGAGTGGACTTAAAACACTGCATCAAGTGTGCCAAGCCCTGCAGGAAGTGTAGCCCAGCAGTGCTGTGCTAGACTTCTCCTGTTTGTGTCAGAAACGGAGCAACAGGCTTTGCAGGACATCGTGCCCAAAGGTATGTGGCTTTGCATGTCGGGTTCAAACAGGACCGGAGCCCTTTGCCTTGGCTCGATTACACGTCTTCACATGCCAGGGCTCACTCACAAAGGACGTATGTGATACCTGAGCTGATCCCTGGGATTGGCCTAGACTCATGTGCTGCTCCAGCAGGTCTGGCTTTGCTCCATGCTCAGGCTCACCAGACAGCCGTTTTACTGGAGGGGACATCTAGGTTTTCAGAGTACCTCCTCCCTCTCTTCCAGGGCTCAGCCCACCCGTAGTGGAGCCCACGGGAGGGCAGAGGCATCCTCTCTGCAAACCTCTGCCTGTCCTGCCTGCCACTCAGAGGAGGCTGTACCCGCTTCCCCACTGGCTTTCCCTGGAAAATCCCAGTGTCAACCACCCAGCATATAAGTGTGGTGGCCTCCCAAAGTGCATGCATTGAGAGGGCTGCCACAAACATCGTCCAGAAAGACCGTGGCACAGACTGGCACAGGTGTGCCTCCTTATTCCGGTCACGCAGCCCATGGGCTGGGGCTGATCTGCACACAGTGTACAAGGCCACGCTCATTTACGCCTCTAGTCCAGGACTGAGCACAGCTGATAGACTGCCAGAATCCATTCTCTTGTTTATCTGCCTTAAAGAACAAAGACTGACACTATGATCAAATCAGCGGTTTCAAAACCTGTAGGAAATCCTTTGCTTCCACACAGGCTAAAAGAGCTCAGTTCAGAGGCGTGCTGACTCCTTGCCCTGACAACAAGCCAAACCCGCGAGGCCCAGCTTTCCAACTGCAGAATAAAAACAGCTCCTTGGGAGCGTGTGTCCTACATTGCTATTCAGACTGAAGGGTAAACAGCCTTTTCTTTCCGTGTTAAGGTCACTCCCTCTCCCCTAAAACATCCACTCTGTCCACACTGAGCTCTCCCTGTTCTTGAGGGACAGTTTAGAGTCCAGCTGTGTTTCACCACGGAAGGACTTCACTCACCCTGATTGCAGGCCATGAAAGCCTCGGAAAAGAGTGATGTTATTATGGGGACGCTCCCTGAATTCAGACTATGAGCCAAACCCTTGGAGGAAGAAGTCTTACAGAACTTCCTTGTTACACCTCTAGAAATTAAAAAGCCCGTTTGGCATTTCAGCATTCAGCTGCAGCACTTGGA